AAAATGTTAACAAAAGGTACAAAACTAGTATCGACGTATAGCACATATCAAGTACATATAGATGTTAATTGAAATTGAAGAATAATTATCGAATTCAATAAGAAAACGCTAAAAAGTTGGAGTGGACTGTTTATTTACCTATGAAACGTAACTCCTCTTTCTTATCGCTGCTGCTTTTACACTTGAAAGCTGAACAACTAATCACCATTGTAATAAAGTTTATACAAAGTTTACTACACACAAACTATTAAAAATCGCTAAAATTGTCGCTGGTAACCAAATGATGACTCATTGTTTGCCACCAAAACAAAAAAAAGGTCACAAATTCTGCTGCAGCCCGTATAGGGGCGTTACATGTCCTTATATTCTTCAGTCATTGGGTGTCATAATTGAGGCTATTACAGCTATAACAAAATTTTTCAAGGTACATAATAATTACAATTTTAGAAGATGTTCATAAAAAATGTAATCACTAGTTGATTAAAAAAAGTATACCATTAATATTACAAATTATATTTTATCCTCTCATAGTATATATCCATCCATTTTTGCTTTTGATCAAATCAAGTGTGAGAAACTATGAAGCTATAAAATGTTGTTTCGGGAGAGTTGAATATCCTGGAAAGTTGATTTATTAAAAATTATTGCACCCAACAACGCCTTAATTACTCTCTCCTGTACGTGTTAACATTTTTTTTGGAAATTTTTTTAACATTTGAAATTATTACAACACAACATGACGCCTAGTTCGGATTCTTTTTCACTTGTTAGCCGACCATACCACTAGGTATGGTAGGCTATTAAGATCGGCAAAAAAAAAGTTTTTTTAATTTCAATCAAAATAAGTTATTTGGGTCATAAATGACATAAATACAAAATATTTTCATGGTGTCTGTCTGTCTTTCTGTCCGTCCATCTGTCCGTCTGTCTGTCCGTCTGTAACACGATAACTCAAAAACCGCTGAACCGATTTTAACCAAATTTGGCACAAAAATACAGTGGCACCCGAGAATCTGGCCATTAGTTTTTGATGGGGGTGGGGGGTTGGTAAGGGGGTATGGTTAGGGGTTCAACATTTTAAAAAATCGTAACTCCAAAATTACAGTAGCTAGCGAAACGCGGTTTTCAAATTAAGATTAGGAATAATATTTGCAACAAAATTTGAAATAACATCAAAATCAGTCAAAGTCGCAGTTTTCGAGATATTAACATATTTTAGTATGGGCGGCTATACGTGCCTCCCGGCGCTAATTTTTTTTACTACCCGAAACAGCGTTACATCACACAAACCTCGTACCTGAGTGTTTTATAGTTTCAATAACTGAAATACTAAAATTAAATATTATGACAAAGCCACGATTTCCATACTATTTTAATGCGATCAATATGAACTGTATCCGGGACATCGTAAAATACATAGCGAAAATTTCTGATTCCTACCGTATATAGCGCTGCGCTCAGAATTTTTTGGAATCACCTGAAATGCACCAAGCCTGTATAGACAGTCTAAAAAACAACACACTAACAATTTTTAAAACTATGTATTTCTATTTTATGCTGCAACGCATATATTATTTAATTATTTTTAATCTCTAGTTAAAATTTATAATTATCTATTATATAAATAATACCGAACCGAGAATGAATAAACTTTCCCTATTGAATTAAATCAAAACATAATGTTAATATAAAGGTCAAAGGTCGCTGCATATCGACCAGGCTGTTTATTATTTCAGCAGTATTATATATTAATAATATTGTTGTAGGTATATTGCACGGGTCGTATAATAGACATAAAGCTAGTTAATAACACGTTCGTACATCTTAACAGAAATATAATAATACATTTTTGAAAAATACAAACATCTTTCAATCATCATTTCATTTTCTATGAAATAACTTATGGTCTAACAGCTAGCAACGTTTTCGAGAAAGTATTTTAAGACGTCTGGCTCTTTGATATATCTTTTACTATGCTCTCTGGAACAGCATGCGGCCCGTCTGGCTGCCGATACCCGTTGCGTTCACTACTGCACATCGGAAGAAAATCCTATATTTTCTATTAATTTAGTCCTATAAATTCTAGTATTGAATATAAATCGAACATGTCTCCATAGCGCAGTGCGTAGAGTTATCGACCACGAACCGATGATTCAGAGTTCGAATCCGGGTCAGGGCAAAAACTTTTTTATTTTATTTTCGTTTATATTCTGTTAGTAAAGTATTAAATAATTCTGGTAATTAAAAATAAACAAATATTTAATGCTTTACTATCAGAATATAAACAAAAATAAAATAAAAAAGTTCCCTACCGAAGCCCTGACCCGGATTCGAATTCTGAATCATCGGTTCGTGGTCGGTAACTCTACGCACTGCGCTATGGACACATGTTCGATTTATATTCAATACTAGAATTTAAAGGACTAATAAAAATATAGGATCTTCTTTCAATGCGCAGCAGTAGGGAACGCAACGTTTACCGGCAGCCGGACGGGCCGCATGCTGTTCTAGAGAGCATAGTAAAATATATATCAAAGAGCCAGTCGTCTTAAAATACTTGTTTTTCCGACGTTGCTAGCTCTCGTACTATTAGAAAATGGTGTTATAGATAGATATTAATTGGCGCATTCTGCGCAGAATGCCAGCAGAATGCCCATTTATCAGGCTGTCACACCGACATAAAACGTATTTTATCGTTTCTTCAAATTGACTAAACCACATGGCTATAGACAGCATGGCTTTGTTAATCAATCCCATAAGCTTTAGATGCCTATTAAGCTCAAAATACTCTGTTAGTAGACTCACTCAGCTTTGGTTCTATTCCTTACCATGTGAATTTTAGCGAATGTTCTACTATAAACTTTTTAACTTGCCTTTGTCCTGGTGAGTGCTCCCACTATTCTACAGGGTCCTAAAATAAAAATCTTGGGAATTTTTATTATTGCAACACATCGAGAACGTAACTCGTCAATAAATAAACTTCAGTAAATATTTAGTATTAAAAACTTTGATACACTTGGAGAAATGAAGCCTTAAAATTTTGACTACAATTTCACAAAATTGAAAATATTTACTATAGATACTCCGTATCGTATGTGGTAAACAACCGTGTATTGTTTGTCACTTTTAAATTAAGATTCATCTCATAAATCCATCACAATCTGGCAGCGCTGTCGCCATCGTTTGTCATTCAAAGTTGATCACGTGCATCGGAAATTGTTTTGCGATTACCATATAAAATTATTATCGTATCATCGTATCGTCGGATCGGATAACGGATGCATGAAAATCAAGCTTTAATCTGTGCTTGGTTTTGCGTATTATTCAGACAGTTATTACCAAACGAACTGATTTAGAGTTTCGTTCGATCATACTAATATCTTAATCACACCCCATCTCTCCTCCACGACAACGTCCCAGATATAAAACACACCGTCGTCGTCTCTCCTCGATCCTCCACGCCCTCGCCCGGCCATCTCCTCCGCTGACCTATTCTTCCCTGTTGTCCACCTGCCGGAGCCGCCGCCGCTCGCTCCGGCCATCGGCATCCATCCAGCCTCCTCCGATCTGCTCTCTCCCTCTCCAACTCTATCGATCTCTCCAGCATCGAGCGGCGAGCGAGCGATCTCCCGGGCACGGCAATCCGACGGAAGACGACGATGTCGATGACGAAGAGCAGCGGCGGTGGTGGTGGGATGCGCGCGACGATGGTGGATGGTGGCGTCTTTGTCTGGCCTACGGGGACGGAGGTGGGTCTCGCTTGGTAGTGCTGGATGCTCGGCTGTGTCCGGTCCGGAGTTGGAGGAGAACGTTTGGGTTGGATGGCGGGAGAGCTGAGAGAGAGCGTAGTAGGAAATAGTAGGGGGTTTGGAGTAAAAAATGTTCCATCAAAAAGATCCTCCAGTCCCAAAGCAGTTCTTTTACTACAAAAAGTAATCTTATGTAAAACCCTCTTATTCTTGTAGATTAGAGTATAGTTCCCTCAAAAGGAAATAAAACATCTCCCAAAAGGCAAAAAATAATATTATTGATTAAAATACTAATAATTTAAAATTAATTAATATACTGGGTGGTCCAAACTGTATTCCGGAAACTTTGGCAGTATATTCTGTGGATAAAAATAAATAAAAAAGTTCGTATAAGTGTATGTCCTAAAATGATTAGTTTCGGAGATACAGGGTGTAGAAGTGTCATTTTTATTTCGATTTTTTTTAAAATAATTTATGAAATAACATCAATAGTCTTACTTATTTTATACTTGTCAGCAATTAGGTTTAATTTGCATAAAGAACAAAAAATTTCTTAACATTTCGGAAAGTTTATCTCTTTCCGTCGTCGGAAGCAAGAAAATATAAGGAATAAAGAAAAAAACAATTTAAAATATTTAAATGAAATTACTCAAGAACACTTTAGTTTGTTTTAAACAGATACGTCTACAAAAACCGTTGAAGTTTTGTTAAAATAACATTATATCAAGTTAAACTTCAAAATTAACAATTATTACCTGATAACAATTACTTAATAAGGTAAAACCAAAAAGCCTCAAATTTTCTGTATGATTATTTTTTAATTTTTACGTGTGTTATATTTATTTATATTATGTTCTTTAAAATCAAAGAAGCGGTTGCCATACATTACTAATATCTACAGATGCATTAGCAATAAATTAGGATTAACGCAGCAGTGTTTACAAAAAATAACTATTTTATTTTGTAGATTTTCTTGCAGTGGCGAAATACCCATATAGGATTTTTTTGGAGTCAAATTAATAATATGACCAAACCAAACAAACCAGAGCTTAAAAACTATCTCTAAATAGTCATTAGATAAGGCAAGAAACAACATATTCTGCCTTCGTGACATCGGCGTCCTTACTACCGCACCCCGATCCCGGCACCAGCACTCCCCGACTCCCCCACGCTCCCCGCGAAGGTCTGCGTGCCCGCGCACCGGCTCGTCGTCGCACCCGGGGTCCACCGACCACTCCTTGAACGGCCGACCGCCCGACCGCGTTCACCCAGCTCCACGCAGCGCCGCGAACGCACACACCGACAAACGACGACGCTCGGGTCCCCAACAGCCCTTCAGTACCACCTCCGGTACACCGAAGATAAGAAAAAATCGAGCGCGCCGCGAATTTTCGAAAAATTCGACGGTCCTTCGAGCCAAAAATTTGAACTTTTCCATGTTGTGGTGCTTGTAGGTCGGGTCCTGGTTCCAGAACAGACGTGCCACGCCTCTAGGCTAAGGTCGGGAGCGTTATCTGTTTATTTATAGGTTTTCCAAGATGGTTTTGGGACTGTCAAAAAGAAAAACGTTGAGGGACGGTGCAGCGGAGGCTGCGTCCGAAGACAGGACCCCGTTTTCCAGGTACGAACCTGCTTTATCTAGGTTTATAGGTTTGTAGATATATATCTATTTGTTTATCATATACAAACGAATTATGAATTAATTTAAAGGCCGTGCTGAACTTTAATCATATTTAAACAAGTTTAAGTGTGTTTTTGTTTGATAAAAACGAAAGGAAAACAACTCAGGGTTATAGTAATGTTTTTATATTCTTTTAGATCGTTGTTAAAAACATTTTTGATTTTAACGCTCCTAGTTTCTTGATTTTGTGAAGATTATCAATACAGCTACAAAACGAAACAGTTTCAGATAGTTTAATACATAATAAACTAGTTCAAATTGTTTTCATTTTTGGAACTGTATTGATAAACAATCTTTATAAAATCAAGAAGCTAAGAGCATTTAAATTTAAATGTCATCAATAATGATCAAAAAGAAAATAAAAACACTACTATTAGCTTTGTTCCTGTCAAACAAAAACAAGCTTAAGACCAGCCAGACTTGCTGAAATCTGATTCAAGTTTAGCGTGGTCTTCAAGGTAATTCACAATTCGTCTGTATCTGATGCACGTTTATTTATTGTAGAAACTGAACAATATTTAGGCTAAGCTTTACATAACATATTTGATATGAAATTGAATTGTATTATCTAAAATTTATTCAAAAAAAATTAGTTCTCTTAATAATAAACTTTAAAAAAACTGACCGCGACTTTGAAATTTTAAAAATTAAAAAATAATATTATATTAACGATAAAACTTCATTAATAATATACCTTTACAATAAGATCAAAATGGTTTTAAATCAAAAAAAATCTTTAAAACTATAGAACATGTAATTTAATAATATATATAGTATTAATTAATATATAGTATTGTATTCCAAAAGTATCAATTCATTAGAATTCCGAAATCGATCATTTTTTGTCAAAAAAATTGTTGTAATTTGAATTGGTTTTAATATTAATATCGTTTTACGGGACTTGCAAAATTTGCTGTGTGCCGATCAATTTTGTTTGTGTATATTTAGAACCAACTGTCAAAAAGACACCAGCGCCAGCGGATACGCCTTTGTAATTGTCAACTAAACTCAGTTTACTTTTGTACATCAACACAATAAAAACATCATATTCAACAAACATCAATCAATTATTCTTATAACAAACTAAAAAATATTAGAAAATAGCTGACCCGGGAAACGTTGTTTTGCCATATATATATTTTTTTTTTCACACGTCACTAAAGTATTAATTTTTACGACGTGATTGGCAATACAAAAACGTCATTTTAACGCCTAGGCATAAAAGTAAAGCACTTTTACGTCTAAGCAAAAAAGTACAAAAATATATTATTACACTGACATAAAGTGTCAAATTCAACGAGCGTAACCATAGTTTCTCGATATATAATTACATACAAGGTATTACTTTTAAATCTTTTTATATTATTTTGTACGTTTCAAATTGTTTAAAAAAATAATTTTTGGCATTTGAAAAAAAAATAGCATGTTCTATTTGGAGTAAAAATGACTTTTTGAGCCTCGCCTGTACACAACCACATTTTCTTTACTCCTAGTAAAACAATATACTATTTATGGGACAACGATAATTTTTATTCACAGGGTTAAAAATTATTGAATTACTAATATCGCTATTAAAAAATAGGGGTTGATGATAGAAGGGTGAAAATTTCGGGTTATATGTTTTTTTTAATGCCACATCATAAAAAATTAAAAATAAAAAAATTGGTCCAAAAATTTAAAAAAAATACTACTACCTTTCTCACTTAGGGGTATAAAAATAGATCACAACCTACTTTCAGATCTACTGAAACGGGATGGTTGTTCCACGTTGGTGGACCCAAAAGTTCAATTATTTCCATTTTTTCTGCAAGTGGGTTCACCATAATTGTTAAAAAGTTTAACGGTATTGAGAAGAACTTCAACGCACAAGTCACAGAACAGCTATCTAGCAACTACCGCACCTGATCGTTCAACCTTGTGGCAAGTGAAAAAATGCGAAAACATCTAGAAATAATAACAAAAGACAGCAAATTGGTCGAAGGAATTTATTATCATCATTTACTCTGATAAATGTTTAAATAAACTTTTCAAATTTCAATCCTTCATATTTTCTCAATGACTCGACCAATTTTCAAAAACGCAGCGGAAAAGTATAGATAATAGAAAGCCCTTTTCATTGCCGTACCATTTGACCATTTCCCCTTCCCATTTGAAAAAAATTGGGGGATGACACCCTCGCTCAGAGGGTTGAAGATTTTGCAATCATTTTTGGGGCAAAAGTTGTCCCCCTCACAAACAAAATTGACGTGTTTTTGAATTTTCTGAAAAAAAATTACCCTGGCCGTTATGCCTTGCGGAACGTTTTCGATGGGCCACCCTGTGTAAAATTTTATCAAAATTGGTCTAGCTGTTTCGGAGAAGGAGACTGTGACACGGAATTTTATATACCGTGCTGACAATTCATACCTTTGGGTCCGTATTTACATGTGTGGAAGTAAATCGCATAGGGATCTTATTAAGTCGATTGTAGTTTGGAAAAAACTACAATCAATTATTTCTAATGAATTGCGAGATATCAATTTTTGAATCCAGAGTTCTAATAGCGCGACCACTGCCGAACACCAACTCAATTCCATTGATTTTTACCAAAAGTGCAAGTGTTTCTAACTTACACTTAAAAATTTACAAGCTATAGAGAAAATTACAACGACTCGTTAATAAATAAACAAATAAACAGTTACGGGACGTAATTTAATCGTTACTATCTGAAAGCATGATGTACTAAGTATATCTCCTTCCACGTTTCTTAGAAATGTGCACAGTTTCTCGGTTTATTTTATACGTTTGGCAACGTGTTTACTGTCCTCTCTTTGTTCAGTACATTATAAACGCATTGTACTCTTCTTACATACGGAAATCTTGACCCAAAACTAACCTTTGCCAGTCCTTAGTATATTAGATTTACTACAGTCAAAATTATTGATCTAAATCTCGTTTAAATAATATCACGTATGGTAACGCAAGTATTTTAGTCTCGATAAACATTGAAATTAAACTGAAATTGAGATGCTACATCTCTGAGAGCAGAGCAGTAGTCAAACAAAGGGATTATATGTGTGAGTTTAAAGGTCAAACGCGTTTATCTTTATGTATGTCATTTCGAAATGTCAACCCGTAAACGCCTGTACAGCATACTGGTAATTAAGTTTTAATTTTCTGGATGGATTCCAGTCAAACATGGCCTGTTAAGTTTAATAATATACTTAGACAAAATTGAATTTCTGAATATATGAATAAAAATAATAAGTCAAAATATAATTAGCTTTAGATTAATATTAGTAGCTCTAAGTTTATTTCTAAAATTTTTTAATTTTTGTTGATGTTAAATGTTTAAATTAGGTTATTATGCAAAATTTTGATGAAAAATATTAAAGGTTTTATGCGATTTTAAATAATTTTAATTTTTTTAAAAATTCTAAAATCTATGTGACTGACTCACTGATTAATCACGATCCTGCTCAAACCACTCAACGTAAGAAGCTCAATTTTGGCATACAGGTTGATTCTAGGGTGTAGAGGTTTGATAAGAAGGTATTTTTCGAAATTCCAGTTCCAAGGGGGTGAAACCACCCGGCCCTCAAATATTACAATATTTTTTATTTAAAAAACGGTCAAGTTTCCGAAAAAACGCTTAAACACGTATATTTTATTTTGTTGTTTTACATATTTTAAGATTTTTTAAAAATTTATACCGGGTTTTTCATAAAATATGACCATTGAGTAATCACGATTCTGCTTAAACTGCTTGACGTTTAAAGCTGATTTTTGGTAAACGGATTGCCTGTGGGGTGTAGAGGTTCGATGAGGAGGAGTTTCTCGAATCTCAAATTCCAAGAGGGTGAAAACGCCCCTCAAATATTACAATATTTGTTATTTAAAAAACGGTTAGTGTTTCGGGAAAACGCTTGAACACGCCTAATTTATTTTGGTTTTTTACATATTTTGCATTTTTTTAAAAAATTATACAGGGTGTTCTAAAAAGTTGGGTAATTGATTAACCACGATTCTGCTTAAACTGCTTGACGTATAAAGCTTATTTTTTTCGGAAGTTTTACGGATTTTTCGAAAGTCAAATTCCAACGAGATGAAACTACCCCTCAAATATTACCAAGTTATATAATAATATCGCCATATTGTTTTTTCTCATGCTGACATAAATGTGAGAAAATTTTATCCAGTTTGTATGTTAATGGAAATTCTTGCTTTGCTTTATCATCACCATTACAAATGATTAATTCGACGCAAACGACGTTGCGGGTACACGCTAGTATTACATAATCGTAGTGTATACGATGAACGTTTATTTATTATTTTGAATTGAAAGTCAATATAGTGTCTCGCTAAGTTCAATATTAGGGACATTTATATGTGAATTTTTTACCAAAAGTCAACATAACTTATATGATATTTATATATATATAAGCGATAATAATAAATATCTAATCATTCCCATCAATAAATTAAATATTTTAGAGTAAAATACGCAAAGCTAATAATATTACAATGGCTCTTTTCGAAGCTAAAATAAGCTTGTGTTAAAAATTTACATGTTCTACCCAAGGTCGCCCGCAAGGATAGCCAGCCTATTATTCGTTGCTGAATTATGAAAAATCGAAAATCACCCCGCTTTTCTATACACACATGTAATTTCTGGGGGATCGTTTGTGCAGAAAATAAACGTAATTTATTATAATAAACGACTATATTGTGCCCTGATTTATTTATACACTGCGATAAATTATATGCCATCTGAAGTTATTTATCGTTCACGCCGTCTGCATTGATTTATTATTTTTTGTTTCAATGAAATGAATTCATTATCGAGTAGCCTTTAACTTTGCTAATTACTTTTGTTTTGTGTCTAATTTTAGAGTATGAATAAAATTGTTTATAATATAGATCTCGGTTTTTAATTATGTAGATCCTTACTAGAGTAGTAGTAAGTTTTTTTTCAAACGTCACTATTTGTCAACAGACATTGTGGTTAAAAAAAGTTTATTTTTTACAAGTTAATTGTTAAGCTTTCTCTATGAATACAATTTATTATCCAGATGTGTGTTATAAGTCACAAGGACAAGAATATTTCACTAAAATTCAAAAGTAAAAATTAAAAAAAAATAAAAAAAAATAAAAAAATATAAAAAATGTGCCAGTAATTTTTTGAAAATGGAAGTTTTTTATTTGCAGGGGAGGTTAAACGCCGTCGACACGACGATCGCTGGGCTGGCCGAGCCCCATCAGCGAGATGGGGCCCCACGGGGCCAAGTCCTGGACGCTCAGGGCTGGCCCAGGGCCGTGGCCCGCCTTCAACCTCATACTACCGATTGTGATAACGATGGGACTGCTTTCTGTACCGCCCACAGTTCAAGCCGGGTAAGTACTAGTATATCTATAACAATATTTCTATATAGGGTGGTCCAAACTGTACTCCGGAAACATTTTGAAATGTTTTGTGCCAAAAGTTCAACAGAAACTGTTTTACCATCATTTTTTTGCAAACAAATTTATGATTAATTTAAAAAAATAAAATGTTCCCTAATTTATTATTTCTGTCAAATAACTATCTACTCAACGTGTTTATTTTTTGTCAATAATGACATGTATTGACTATTTCCATTCTAAACATCTTAGGAACGGTTGCTCGTAGCGATTTTTAGCAAGAGATATTTTTTACATAAAAAGTCACGGAGATGTACATGTTTCACACAGTAGTTTTATACATGTATGGACAAAAAGTTATTACTCTTCAAAGCAGTTGAAACACATGTAGGTGGCGCCCGCTACAAACAGGTGTCATATTGACATCAAAATCAAATTTCTCATGTCAAAAAACTCCCAGACCTCCTTACACAATCCCCTTGTTTCTCAAAATATGCATTTTACCAAATATTGACGTTACTTTTTAAACCATTTGAAAAAAAAATCGGAATATGAAAAAATTTCTACACCTTTAAAAAAGAAACGAAGCATTTTAAGACACACATTTATAATTTAATGGTTTTAAGTTTAATTTTTAAAATTAATAATTTAAGAATTATCAACAGAAAATTTGATTTTTATATGGGACACCCTGTATATTTGTAATTTATTGAAAATAATTTAAAATTACCTTCCAAAAATATAACACACTTGATATTTTGTTCGAATCCTCTTCGAGATATAGAGTATATAAAAATTCATAGCTTTAAATAAGTAGGCTTTGAACGGCACAGGCTGTAATGCAAAAAAATTCTAGCTGTGAGCATCAATTAAAACGAAAATAATATTTGCTATGAGAGATGCAGAATTTTATAACAATTTAAAATATATTTAACCAACATCAACACATTTAAACTATATCTAATAACAATAAAACTAAATAGCAAACCAAGACATGAGATTTTGCTACAGGTGTTCAACATATCAACCGTCTTCTGTTATGGACAGACGAGGCAGTTTTTGAACATTTCTCGCAGAATTCATTAACTCAGTGGGGGTGAAAGATACCCTCTCATAACTGCTAAGTATTTCTAATTCTTGTCTAGATTACGGAAAAATAAGGAACCTTTATTCTTCCACAAATATATCCATAGGATTAGATCCATGGGCACTAAGTTAGGCGGTCTCGACGGCCAACGGCTGGGATCTTGGTTAGCTATTCAATTATTCTTAAATTTGACTGCAAAAATTTGCTGATAACTTCAGCGTTCAGAGGCGGTGCGTCGTCTTGCTGGAAAAATATGTTTTCGAGTTCCATTAAGGGGAACTCGAAATTAACTCTTCAATAAGGGGTCCAAACCTGGGTCCAAAGCCTACTAGTTTAAAGTGGCGAACTTTTAAAAATTCTGTATTTCGAAGGGGATTATGATAAAATATCAAGTGTGCTATATTTTTGGAAAGGTAATTTTAAAATCTTTTCGGTTAATTAAAATATAGAGGGTGTCTCAAATAAAAAATAATTTTTCTGTTGATAACTCTTAAATTATTAATTTTAAAAAATTATACTTAAACCATTAAATTCTACGTAAAAGGTGCTTTGGAAATGTTTTCATAGAAATACAAAATTTTCAATAGCAAAAGTTACAGCGATTTGTTAAAATTGCACATTTTTTGAAAAACACCCCGTATCTCCGAAACGGTAACAGATATTGATGTGCGGTTTTCACCATCATGTTTTTGATGAAAATTGAGCTCCAGACACCGATATTAGTTTTTCGTCTATCTCCTATAGAAAAGGGTGTTTCCATTTAAAAGCGTCGAATTTGACCCACCCTGTACATGTTTCACACAGTAGTTTTATACATGTATGGACAAAAAGTTATTACTCTTCAAAGCAGTTGAAACACATGTAGGTGGCGCCCGCTACAAACAGGAGTCATATTGACATCAAAATCAAATTTCTCATGTCAAAAAACTCCCAGACCTCCTTACACAATCCCTTTCACTCTCAGACTCCCTTTCACCCAAATATTGACGTTACTTCCGAAACCATTTGAAAAAAAATCGGAATAAAAATGAAACTTCTACACCCTGTAAAAAAGAAACGAAGCATTTTAAGACACACATTTATACGAACTTTTTTACTTATTTTTATCTGCAGAATATGCTGCCGAAGTTTCCGGAATACAGTTCGGACCACCCTGTATATCGGGACAAAAGCTATGTCAAAACTCACAAACGAATCTACATCATTAAGAAAATTATTGGAGATAAAAAAAAATGTTTACACATACACAAATTTAATTTTACAAAACTTAAAATCATCTGAAAACAAATCCAGTTTAACTAAAACTAAGAAAGAAAAACTAAATAAGACCCAGGATACCAAACCGAAATAAATCAATCATTCAACAGATCGACTATCGGCAAACTTTGCGAACGAGAGCGGCGAGTGTCGTCTTTGTTCGAGCGAAATAAAAAGAAAAAAGACGCCCGCAAGCCTCAGAAGGCATAAGCGAAGGAAGCCGAGGTAATGCCAAAGCAAACAAGAGGAGACGAGCGCTAGAGGATCGCGATAAATCAAGAAAGGAGAAAAAATATTGAGGAGCGAGAGCAATCGGCGGTTGTGAAGTGCAAATAGAGCTCGTCTCGCGGTGTGTATAGAAATTCGATTACGGTTTGAGACGGTTTGGATGAGGAATAAGACGATTGGAAAATTTGATAAAAGAAAGAGCCTAATAAAATGTCTCCATGTTTCCATAATTCTTTTCTATAAAGTACAGTAATAAGCAAAAATAAAATTATGGTTTTTTCCACAGCAACTGTTAAAATTGCCTTATATCTGTCAAAAATAGTACTTTAACCGCAAGGGTAGATTAAATGATACTTTAACAGCGAGGATAGGTTAAAAACTGTATTTCTTCTCGCACGTTTTTTAATTGCTTCCATTTTTAAAAATTCTTGTATTTCTTTTCATAAATTATTTGGGATTTAAATGGAAGTAGTTTGGATATGGCGTTTGCCGCCTCAGCCTGAATATCTGTTGGTAATTTCCTTATTTCGTTTTGAGCCATTTCTGACTCCAATTCAATCAGCAATCGACACGAAAGAGAATTAAAAAATATTGACTCAAAACAACTAAAGAGGCAGCTTTATTTATTTGTCAAATTACATAGAAACCAACGCCAACCCAGCACAATATTTTTTCTACTCGTAATAAATTTCTTGAAATAATAATTTCTGAATATTTTTTAAAATGTAACTCGCTATGGAAGAAAAAATATTGTTTTATACACGACGATAAAATTGCGACGATTTTATCGCTCGTGAATTAATCTTTTCGGTAGACGATAGAATACCATTTCATCGTCTTGTATAAAAAATAGCTATTCTTATATTACACAACTTACGTAATGGGTTAATCTACCGGGTCCGTCTCAAAAGTGGCTCCCTATAACATTTTTAATTTTTACAAATAAAAAAACGAGATTTGGTATGTTAGTATATGACATAAATTAGGATTCATTGACGTATTCAATTGTTGATTGTGATTTAATTAAATTGAAAAAAAAATCAGGTCCGTATTTATAAAAATTAAGCCAGGAAACAATAGAAAACAAAATTGAAAATTCCGTTTTTTTTTCGAATATATTCGGAATTTTTCAAAATGCAATACAGCATTTTATTGAGCATCAAATTGCGCAACTTTGCCTCCAGTTATTCCAATGATGAGCGTCGAATTCGAGCCACCCTGTACATACGCCAAACAGGTAGAAAATTAGATATGTCCGATACACACAAACAAAAAAAATGTATTAATAATCTCCGACAAAGTTCCGATCTAGCAACACATCGCATATTAAATAGTCACACAATTAATGTGAATCCAACCCTGGCCAGAACCCGGTCGTTTCTCTCTCTCTCTCACACTCCCACTCATTTCTTCCCTCGTTCCCTCTCTAACGGGGGTGATTTTTAATGGAGATGAGAGACAAAGAAAGGCGGCCGTGGTTCGGCTCCAGCCAAACGGGCGTCTCTAAGAGCAGCAGCCCCTGCAGAAGACGAATTTTGGCAAGAAAGTGTTTTATTAATGGATTACGAGACGGGGATGAACAGGAAGGGGGTAGAGGGGGGTAAAAGTAGGGAAGAAGACGGGGGTGGTTTAGATGTGTACACGCTCTAAAGTGCTTTAGGGTTTTTTCGAAAGAAGGATGATTGGTGGGAGTAGTTTTGTGTGTCAGGGTTGTTGTGGTTCGAAAAAAATACAACGCTTTAAGTTAATGTCTATTTTTAATCTCTAATTTATGTTCACGGATTCTGAGGCAGTAATGACATAGCGAGTGTTTATATTTTTTTAACGATCTAAGACACTCAAAGAAATTTCTCAAGGTTTACGACCAAGAAAAATCAACGATTTTTCTTGGTCTTATAAGTAAGACCAATTTTCGATTGTGATGGGAATTTTAACAGGACACTGTCTCCCCAATAAAAACCTCTAGTAGATTGAAGCTAAGAAACAACGGCGAATGCAGATTTTGTGACGAAAATGGGGAAACACCAGAACACCTTATCACTGAGTGCACCGAGACGACAACCATTCGAGCCATAAACTTTGGTATGAGTGATATCGGAGATAGTGAGCTAACCTCTATAAAACTGTCTCAGATACTGACTTTTGTCAAAGCTCTGAGACTGTATGATGAGTTATAACTCAAGAAAGATGACTCTAGGAAGAATCCAACTGAATAGAAAGCATTCCAATTAAAGGTTACCGTTGCATATACGGTTTTCGGCTGTTTTTGTATTATAAGGAAAAAAAATTATATACTCACATTCTATTGACCTTAGAGATATAACTAAGTAATTCTCTATTTAGCCAATTTGTTAAACCAAGTAAAAAATTAGATAAAAATATTTTAAAACCTATTACGTCATTTTTCCTTAAGAAAAGGATT